CAATAAATGGGGCTTTCGTTCAATTATAGAAATTGTATATCGATAAAAGAAATTCAATTTATTACTTTATTTATAATTTATTATAAAAATTTTGCCCATATAGCATATATTTAATGAATATTAATAAAATATATTTAACCAAGTTTATAGTTCTAGAATATATGAATCAGAATCTTGTGCATTTCATAGACGCCAAAAAATAATATCAAAATTTTCTCTACTCAATTTTTTTAAATAATTTGATATTTTTAAAATATTACAAATATTAATTTATTATTATTATGAAATTATATACAAAATAAAAGTATTATCATAAAATAACCCAAAACAATATAAATATTGGACCGGATTTTCTAAAATAGGCATAGCTTACTAAATTAGAATAACAATAAATAAGTGTTTCAATCAATAAAATAAATAAAAATTTTAAAATTTATTAATCATTCAATAATACATGCTCACTATATTGATTCATTTTTAAATTAATTTCTTGGTATTTTGATTTCTATCAACACCTAACCCCAAGCCTAGAAAAACTATAGACGAATATACAGTTAAAATTGTACAAGAATTTTATTGTATGGACAAAATAAGCAGAATCATGTCAGGCAAGAAAGATTGCGTTTCGATTTTGACCAAAGACGGAAAAAAGAATATCATACATAAGAGATTAATTTTAGATAATTTGAAAAAAATTTATATATTTTTTAAAGAAATGAGACCTGATGTTAAATTGGTTTTTCGAAATTCGCAAGTATTCGCCCAAAAATTGTATACTCGTTGGAGGTAGTGGTACACATGTATGTGATTGTAGCTACCACCAAAATTTTAAATTAATGATCATTGGATCAAATTTAACCAATGATATGTTGCCCTTTAAAACATACAAACATATTTTACACTTAATAATTTGTAATTCGCCTCAACCTCCAGTTATATGGGCAAATGTGATAATTGTCCAGGGTCAACACATTTACGCGATCAAATAGAAATATTGTTTCGTTCTAAGGACATCGAATTTATAACATACAAACAATGGCTATCCGTAGATAGAACCACTCTTGAAACAATAACCAAACCAGTAGGTGAATTTATCAATGCCTTTTTTGAAAAAATGGAATCTTTATTACTCCATTTTTTTATTTCAACGCAACAATCGTTGTATCAAAACAATATAAATTGAACTTAGACGAAGACCAATATTTAATTTTATGTGATTTTTAAGAAAACTATAGCATGAAGTACAAAATTATCATTGGAATAGGGCTAAATCCACTGCTCACCCTTTTGTTATATATTATAAAGATAATTTTGCCAATATTTGTTGCCTAAATTATGTAATGATATCCGAATCTTTGCAACACAATACAATTGCATTACATAATTTCAAAAAAACATTGGTAAATTTTTTAATTAATAAAATTTGTAGGCCAAATAAAATTTTTTATTTTTCCGATGATAAAAATCGTAAAAATTTTATTAATATTTGCCATCATGAGATGGATTTCGGGGTACAGGCGAAATGGCATTTTTCTGCACACGGGAAAAGTGTTTGTGATGGGATTGGTGGCACTGTTAAAAGATTAGCCGCTAGAGCTAGTTTACAAGGCCTTACTCAAAGTAAATAACCACATCATATGAATTGTACGAGTTAAATAAATAAAATATTAATGTCATATATTTTGATAGATGACCAAAATAAATTATGATTATGAAGATCTATTACTCAGGGAAAGATTTTCAAAAATTAGATCTATACCTGGAACACACAAAATACACACCTTGATTCCAACAGATCTACATCAATTTAAAAGTAAAATGTATTCCAATTCAATAGAAAGTACTAGCAGGAAGAAATATATATAAAGTTTTTAACCCATCCGGACCTTCTAATTCCTTTACATTTCCAAGTATAGACGACACTCTTTACTTGCCCAAATGCCATATCTAAACATTAGTTTCACTGTTAACTGCTACTGGCCGTAGTTATATATTGTTGTCACAAGAAAGTAAATGCGCTACCAAAAATAGAATCTTTTAAAAGTGAGTTGTTTATTAGATTTTTAAATTTAAATTATATCAATTTTTTTAATATTTAGGGCGCCATATATGAAATGCACAAGATTCTGATTCATATATTCAAGAACTCGAAACTTAATTGAACATATTTTATTCATTTACAATAAATATATGTTATAATGCACAAAAATTTTTATAATAAATTATAAATAAAGTAATAAATTGAATTTCTTTTATCGATAGATAATTTCTATAATTTAATGAAAGCCCCATTTATTGTTATTTTCACTTACAAGATGAATAATCCTTTAAATTATATCAAATAGTCCAAGAAAAACCGATTAATATATAATTTTATACAAAGACGCCCCCTTTCGGGACAATATTTATACACTTTTCTAAACATTTTTAAGATGGCCGCGTCCCAGATTAATTTTTTTTTATAAATATAAAGGAAGAGTTTAATAATGTCTACTAAATTTTTTAAAAAAATTGAAGGTCGTATTATTTTCAAAAAATTGTTTTTAGTCCTTATATATTAAATAAAAAGACCGGAAATTGGATAAAAAATTTAAAAATTTTTTTTATCTAAAAGTAGAATCTTTGTACGTAATTTTGATATTAAATTTATTATTTACAATTATGTAATTTTTAAGATATGATTAATTGAATGAAGGCAGATAATGGTAAAAATACGTCATTTTTGCCACTTTGAACCCTAATATCTCCAAAAATATAAATGATACGAGGCTAAAATTTTGGCTATTTCTTAACTACACTACCCTTTCTTTGCTTACCAAATTTTTAAAAAATCGAAGGGGGTCGGCCGAATCGTGGTTGATTTGTCATGGAATGACCCAGGTATTCTTAATACCACTATTATCAATCACCATTTTTTCCTCCATATTTTTCAGACATTTAACACCTACCACATCCTGCCTCTTTTTTTCCATCAGGACGACATTTGCCATTCTTTCCTCGCATTCCATTTTTTAAGCAAACTCCTGCCTTTGTTCATCTTACACTTTCACTTTTAATTTCTTGGCATTTTTTTTGCCACCTTGTAAATATCGTTATCACTATTTTCTTTATTATTATATCATTCTTTGAAACACCTTTGTTTATCGTCAACCAGATTCCACCACCATGTCTCCTTATGTATAGTGGCCTTTTTGTCCATCCACATTCCTCCTCAGTTGTCTTCACATAGACTTTCTTCATAGTCTCCCACTTGTCCCCAGATGCTTGTGGTACCTCCACCTCTCTCTTATTGCCAATGTCATATTGAATTGACGTCTAGTACTCTCCTCCTTCAATTTCCAAACCTTCAACCTTGGCATAAAATTTCTTTTAGTAATCCTGGCGCCTTTAAAAGTGAGATCTCGTATAACTAGTTGGTGCTGATCAATACATTCCTCTCCCTATATCATATTCCCATTTTTTTACTATGCTCCTATCACATCTCCTTATTAGCAAATAATCCACTGTACTTTTGGCACCCCCCAACTTGTAAGTCACCAGCTTTTCTCATTCTTTCTTAGACATTGCCAAACAATATCCATTTTCTCATCCTGTAACTAAATCCACCCTGTACTTACTAATAACCCTGGCTACTCGCTCTCACATGTCTATTCAGATCACCAGCCAGGATAATCCCGTCTTCATTTGTCAGTTCCGATGTCACCTGCAAGTCCCAAAATATATCTTTCTTTTATTCAATTCTTGAGATAATATTGCATAACTTTCTACCAAAAATTATCTTGATAATCATTATCTGGTTATCTAGTCTTCTTAATTCGATTATATTGTCCATCCATTTCTCTGCAACCAATATGCCAACGCCAGCCTTACCATCATTACTTCCCTGCCAGAAAAATTTATACTTTTCACTTGTCCTGCCAATCATTCTAGCGCCATTACTTTTCCATCTGGCATCTTGTATGCAACACACATCTATATGCCTTCTATGCAGTACATCGACCTCTTCTCCAGCTCTTCCCGTCATGCTCCCAACATTCCATGTTGTAACTTTTACTCTATCCCCCTTAACTGGTTTATCCAGTTATTATCAAGTCGTTTATGGCCGACACATGTTTCATTATCACGAATCGTGGTTCCACCAGGTTTCCCATCCTTCTTTAGGTGATGAGGAGGCCGATGGGGTACTTTCGGCTGTACCCTGTCCATACTTTGTTGTAATCATTAGGAAATTTTGGAGCAAGGATTTTACAATCAGATACCTTTCCTGACATCAACCCCTTTCGGTGGTTTTTAAACCCTGTCTAAGAGACAGTGATCCTATTTTAGACCCAGACCACAGGGAGACATACATCTTGCATTGTTGTTTTTTCAATTTCGCTTGCATTTAAAGGTTTTTGCTCTCTCATCTGTATTTGACCTAGTATTTCTTCTATTGATATTGTGGTTCCCCTTATAGGTAATCGAGATAGCATCACAGCATTGGCTAGTTGTCGACTACATTAGAATTCTATTTCATATTGGTAACCTGCTAATAATAAAGTCCATCTTTGTATTCTGAAAGTAGATCTTGTTGTTATATCTTTTCTTGGATGAAATAAACTCATTAATGGCTTGGTTTGAAATGTGAACTTTTTTCCACATATAAATTCTTTGAATTTTGTAACCCCAAATATGATGGCATGAGATTCCCTTTCATTTTGGCTATAATTTTCTTGTAATATAATATTAAGATATTCCTGTTTGATATTAAAATGATTTTGAACTGGAAATGTAAACATAAAATTTAAATGGTTTGGAATTATATAACTAACCAAAAAAATAAGGTCATATTTTATATTAAAAATGTGGGAATGCATTTGGCATAAAACATCTACTTGTAAATTATTTCAAAATATTTTGATTTAATTAATTTTTCTTACAATGTAGAACATTTTTTATATCTTTAATTTTTTGACAAAAAATTTTTTTTACTAAAAAACAATTTTCCCAGCCCTAATAACTTGAGTTTGTTGATGAGTTCCAGTGACGATGTTTCCTATGGTTCTGAGAGCTGGAACCAAGATAGAATTATCAGAATGCCCTAAAAGTAAGGATAGACGATTCAACAAGCCAGCTTCTATCACGAGTTGTATTCGATCATTTTGACTATCCGTTATATAAGATAAAGCCCAACAAGAATCTCTTATCAGTTCTTTGTCTTTATTTTTACATTATATATACCTCTATGTAATTCTTAATTAACCTGAATGGTGCAGAAATTGTGAAACGTAAGGCATACACATGTACACTATGTTTAGATCGGGCATAGGATTTTTATTCCTGCAAATATTTGATATACACCAGGCTATATTTCTAAGAAACGATATCTAATTAACAAGGTATAAATCACATTATGATAAAAAATTATACCGGCAAATCTGATTTAATAATATCGAATAAGGTTGGTATTAATCCAGATTTAATTACAAGTTCCCTCAGCTGTGCACTATCACCTTAAAATATTGAGAATATTTATATATAAAAGCATGAATATTACTATTTATTTTAAAAAGGGAGATGTCCTAGAATGTTTTGAGAATGGATTTTTAAATAAGTGAATAAAATGAGAATAAAACCAAAACCATTATATGTGCAAGTTATAGTTATATTTCCTTAAGTACATAATCGTTGAACGATGTTTTTAAAAATTTCCCAGAACGTTAAAATAATATGAAAATTTTGATTTAATTTATGCTTAAATTGGTTCATAAATATCATGGTTGAACTGATCTGATATTTATTTCAAACACACCAATACTAATATTTACATTATTTGTCATTGTTTGTAAGATAATGGAAATAAAATCTCTTAAAAAATTTGGTGGTGGTTTATCCCGTCTAGAGGAATACAGAAGGTCTAATAAATCCGTGTATAAAATTTTTTTTAACTTTTTAATCAGAATATTTACTTATCCCAGCTCTTAAAAATCGAAAAAGTCTCAAAGCTATAAAATTTTAAAAATATGTCTCATCTTTAAATTTGTAGAAAGGTTTGTATATAAGATAAGTAAATAAGGTCTTATTTTATAAGTTATAGCCTTTAAGAATAACATATAATTCCATATTATTTTTTAATGGTGACCAGAGTTTTCATTTTATTTTGGCCTTAATACATATAAATAGGTATAAATTTATGGCTAACAAGCTATATACATAATATAAATATTCATATTAAATTTCGGTATAATAAACTATGCATTTTTATTTGAATAAAAAGTAACAAATTAAACATCAATATCAATTAAAAATATAATAATGAAATATAAAATAATTAAAATTAAAACATTGGATATTTTTCTTTATAAAGGTAAAGGCTTTAAGTTATGTGATAAAAAGATTCTCTTATGATCTATATCGCCAGCTGTGCAGCTGATTCTGATGGAACACTTGACAGGAGATACCAATATATAATTTTTTAAATTTATTATGACTTTATTTTGAAAGTTCAAAACTAAATCAAATTTTTATTCGTTTCATTACAGCTCTAATTATTTTGATGCTTTTTAGATATCTTTTTAATGTATAAAATAATTATCAAATCTAATAGGGCGAAATTAAGTTTTGATGTGCTGCTTAGATTTAATGCCATTTGGTTATATAAACAATAAAGGGATGACAGATTTTCTTAAGGTTTAACATTTAAATAAAATGATTATTAAAAAATAAATTGCCTAAAAAAAAATATAAGATAATTGATTCCTCGTTTGCCAAATAACCATTAGTTGGGGTGCACTAGATGATTATTTAAATATAAAGGCGCGTATTTTAAATCTGATTGATTCAGGACAAAAATTCTGTTCTATCACTTTTGATTTGTGGACTTTCAAGCGTCGAAATTATATGAAATTTAGTTTTCACATTTAGATAAAAATTTTGATTTAAAATATTTTACCCTGGCAACTAGAAATGTGACTCATAAGCATACTGGGGATACCATATTATCTGAGATTGATAGTATTGAAGAGGAGTTCCATTTATGAGTCAAAACAATACAAATGGTAACTGATGTTGGGAACAATGTCAAAAGAAGCGTCAGATTGGGGGACTATAAGCATCATTTATGCTTATGGCATGGACTTCATAATTTGGTTACAGTTGATGGCATAAAAAAAGTTGCTAGAATTGATTTTATCATTAAAAAAATTAGAGCAATAATTAGCTCTCAGATATCCAGTAGCTGATTTGGAATGTAAAATTGAGTATGAGCATTGTAAATTTCTGCAGTCAGTTTATGAGACAGGTCATATCTTGGATATTGATAATTCTGTTCCATACCTTGATGACCATTTTGATATGTCAGATGAGGCCGATAATAAAAACGGCATTATACAGACCAATCTAATTAATACAAAAACTTAAAATTAATTTGCCCTACCCACTGGCACAGCGTATTAATTTAGAAAGTGATCGCAGTGTAAACATAATTCCTATAAATAATATTCTAAATAAAATAGGAAAACAATGTTTAAAATTCTTTAATAGTGAATGGGATCTGATTGATGAACTTTACGCAGTATTAAATCCATTATTTCCTCACAAAAGGGATCAACAATAAACTTAGGATTATTATTTTGCAGTGAAATAGAAACCCATATATAAATCTATAGATCTGATTGCTCAGATATTATTTGCTTAAAAGAAAATATATAAAAAAGCTTGACCATAGGTTTCTCATTATTGAACTTCAAGTTATTTTATATATTTATCAATAAAATTATATTTTAAACATTAGATATTAGTGACTCTACTTGATCCCAGATTTCAAAATCTTAAAATTGTTTCAGAATATTTAAATTCGATTTATACAACATTGCAATTTTTAATTAGACATTTAAAACTTTTAGAGCATGATAGAAATGCAGTGAGATTCAAGTTGAAGATAATGGGCAAACATTCAGTTCTTAAGGCTAAAAATAGCTCGTAAACATTCCCTTCCAAACAACGATTATAACAACATTAGTAATCTAGAACAAGAATGGTATATTTTCAGCCAACATAATATCCCAGAAGAGGATGACCTTTTAGAAGAAAAATGGCTGGAACTTCCTAGGCTTGCTAATTTAGCTGGGAATGTTCTTTGTATATCTGCAACCACCCATTGAAAGAATTTTATCTATTGCTGGATTAATACTCAATGTAAAGACGACTTCTTTATGTCCCACAAATCTTGATAAAATACTATTTATTCATGACAATTATAATTTTGCTAAATTTGAATTCTGATTTACTTGAATTCCAAATTTATATTTTTTTGTTATAAAAAAATTAATAGAATATTACTAATATGTATTGTTTATGTGACTCTGATCTGAGTAAAAATGAAATTCCTTAGTCTAACTGAGAATGGGAAAATACATAAATTTAAATTTCAGTGAGACAGGAAAAAATTTAAGAAATGAATTAAACTATGTTAAAAATGTGTTAGAAAAGAGCGACCAAATAAATTATAAAAAAATGTAAATGATTTATAAATTAAATTCATTAAAATACATTAATTAAATTAAATCATTATTTTTTTAATAAATATTGCTCTTCCGCCACTGACAATTTAGTAGGCATCGGCGAAATCGTTGCACCACCAAACGCTGAAGAAAAAATTGAAAAATACCGACATCGGTGAAAGATTTATATGTATTTAACATGTTCCTTGGACCTTTTTATATTTTTATTTTATTTCCACATATATAAATCAGATTTATAAATTTTAATTTATTTTTGAAAACATTTGTTAACAATTTTATATCAAACTGAATTCTGTTAGATTATTATTTGTGTGAATATGAATAAGGAAATATTTGATGAATATCTAATAATACTTATTATCAAATATTCAATATGAATAATGCAAATATTCCATTTATATTTTTGTGGGCATAATGGTAATTAATAGTTATTTTTGAAATAACATGAAGCATATTTTTCTTCAATTATTTTATAATTTTATATAATTCTTTATCATATGTTAGCCAGGTTGAGAATAGAGGCATCAGCTAAAGGAGGAGGGTGATCCTTGGCCTGGAAAAGGAATAGGTGATTTTTTGCCAGAAATTGAGAAAGGGCAGGTGCTATTTATCCAGGAATAGGGAAAGGGCTTGTGGCCTTTAGCCAGGAATATGGGAGGGCAGATGACCTTTGGGCAGAAATATAAAAGAACAGGTGGCTTTTGGCCAGGAATAGGGAAAAAACTTGGACAGGAAGACAAATAGGGCATTTTTTATATTTATCCTGAATTTATTAATCAATAAAAATAAGCTAAATTAAATATAAATCAGCATACCTATTATATTTCCAAGGGCCCAAACACTTTGTTCACAAATATGTGCATGAGGTGACGATAGCAACCTAATCATAGGCGGTAAAGCACCAGCATCAACAACAGCTTGGGTTTCATCTGAAGTACCAGATGCTATATTTGTTATTGCCCAAAGCGCTTCGAATTGTATATCTGGGCTACATTTTTTTCAATGATTATAAAAAATATTTTCAATATCTAAACAATTAGTGTTATGACTTAAATACAAATTTAAATGATTTGAAATAAAATTTTAAAAATCACATGACACTTCTAGGTGTTTTAATTTTTGTGAAGGAACTGATATAATGGTGTATGGATAATATGTAAATAATACTTAAAAGGCTCTGGAAGGGTAAGGAAAGGTCTATTAAGATAAAAATGAGCTTGAATCTTTTAGTTTAAACCTTTATGGCCCAGAATTGTGTGCTATTAAATTTTTTGTCTATAGCAACTTATAAATAAAAAATGTCTCAATAATAAACACAACAATGAGAAATCAAAAATAATTTAAATATAAAATAAGATAAGCCCAAAAAAACAAAAATGAGCAATATTGGAAGATCATATCTGCATTTGAAAAAATATGTCAAAATTGCAGAAAAAACTTTAATCAGGCATTTCTACAAAGTATGCCATTAAATCTTAACCTACCAAACTTTTATCTCTGTGAAGCAGATATATAACCAAAGTCTTTCAGTTATACTTGGTGTTCATATTATTCTAAGAATTATAGATGCCATTATGGAAGAATTAAAAAGTTATATGGCATTGATGAGGATCAAATTTTATTTACAGAAACTGGGAAATATGATTTTAAATAGTTTTGGGGTCATTCCATGTCAAATGAGCAAAAAAATCAAGATTTTCGGCCGACCCCTTTCAATTTTGATAAAAAGTTGTAGACTGGTTATATATGTTTCCATTAGATTATAAACAAAATTTTAGCGCATTAGCAACTATATTAGCGGAGATAATCGGGGTTAAAGGTCCAAAAAACGCCTTTTTTCCTTTTTACTGATGTTAAATAATTTGTTTTTAATTTAAAACTAATTATGATCAAATATTGAATTTAATATCAATAGCTAAGTTAATAATTGATGATTATGGCGAAAACATCAAAAATAATTTTTTTTAAAATATGGGTCATCTTATGGTCAGTTGAAAACTTGAAATTAATATTTCGAAATGTATATGATCTCCGATTTTTAATTTTTTTAAGAAATATTATCCGTTTACTATTTTTTTAATAATTTCTTTAACAATTAGCATGGCTGGATATTTATTTAAAAAAATATTGCGATTTTTATACTTTAAAAAAATAGATGGCGCTATATATAATAGTTTTAATATGTTAAAATTCATTTTTTTTAGGGTCATTCCATGACAAATCAACCACGATTCGGCCGACCCCCTTCGATTTTTTTAAAATTTGGTAAGCAAAGAAAGGTCAATGTAACTAAGAAATAGCCAAAATTTTAGCCTCATAACATTTATATTTTTGGAGATATTAGGGTTCAAAGTGGCAAAAATGTCGTATTTTTACCATTATCTGCCTTCATTCAATTAAGCATATCTTAAAAACTATCTAATTGTAAATAACAAATTTAATATCAAAATTACTTACAAAGATTCTACTTTTAGATAAAAAAAAAAATTTTTTTTTCAATTTCCGGCCATTTTATTAAATGTATAAGGACTAAAAACGATTTTTTAGAAATTATACGACCTTCAATTTTTTAAAAAAATTTAGTAGACAACACTGAACTCTTCCTTTATATTTATAAAAAAAAATTGGTCTGGGACGAGGCCATCGATAAAAATGTTTAGAAAAGTGTATAAATATTTTCCCAAAAGGGGGCGTCTTTGCATAAATTTATATTTAAATCAGTTTTTAATGGTTTACTATTTGATATAATTTAAAGGATTATTCATCTTGTAAATATAAATTATAATATTTTCTTCACTTATGGGGCTTTCATTCAAGTATAGAAATTATCTATCGATAAAAGAAACTCAATTTATTACATTATTATTTATAATTATTATATATTTGCCCATATAACATATATTTAACGAATATTAATAAAATATGATCCACCAAATATCGATCAATTTTTTAAAATAATGTGATCGTCGCAAAAAAAATAAATTTTTCAAAGTCAAGATATATTATATTTTTTTTGTGTCTCCATATTATGTATATTGTATTTATTGTTTTGTTTTTACCAAAAAAAAATAATATATGAAGAATTATAATTCTTCCATTGACGTGGAAAAGCTAATAAAATATTACAAATATTAATTTATTATTATTATAAAATTATATACAAAATAAAAGTATCATCAATAACCCAAACAATATAAATATTGGATCGGATTTTCTAAAATCGGCATAGCTTTACTTGTAAATAAGAATAAATGAGTGTTTCAATCAATAAAATAAAGAAAAATTTAAAATTGATTAATCATTCAATAACACATGCTCACTATATTAATTCATTTTTTAATTAATTTCTTGGTATTTTAAAAAAACTATAATAAATTCTAATTATTCTTATAATAAATTCTAATTATTCTTATAATATCAAAGGTAAAAAAATTATTTAATTGAAGCGATAAATTTTATAAAAAACTAAATGAAAATAATTAATAATGTCTTATAAGGATATTTTTGGTTTTAAAACTAAATCAATAATTTTTTCAAAAATTAACCAGTTACTTTCTACATCAAAATAGGGTTTTTGGAACAAAAAATGATTATACCATATTTTTACTAAATTTTATATAGAATTTTACATGAATAAATAGTCCTGAAATACTAGGTTAATTTAAATTATAATTATTTGTTTTAAGTTATGATAAAATATATAATATGTAGAGCGAGCAAAATCAGATTAGTGATATCGGTTATTTGGCCGATATCAATATAATATCTGCAATATCGTATCGGATTAACCCCCTAATCGGTACACCTGTAATTATTAGATATTCGGTGATATTTTTATAAATTAATTTGTTTTATCATATAGAATTTCAATAAAATGAACAAAAATCTTATTCGAAAAACTAGATGCTGTAACCCTTTTAAAATACTAAAACATAATAATGTAACTACAAATCTTAGAAATGTACAATCTTGGATGTCACTTCACTCAGATGATAAGATATGTGATAAATGTCGAAGAAAACTCGGAACAGCTAGTAAGTCAAATGACGCATTTAAAGACCCTGATATTCATCATATCGAAGAGAACCTGGCTTATGAATCAATTAATACATCATTGATAGAAATTGGAGAATCTCCAATTAAAAAGAAAAGGTTGAGAGAAAAAAGATATCCAATTAAAAAAATTACCAAAATAAAAAAGGCTATAGAAACTCATTTAGATATAAATGCGATTGAGCCAGCTACTATCGATAAAGATGATGGTATAAGCAATATTAAAAAAAAAATTTCACTCTTATCTAAAACTGATAAATATAAAATTTTGACGATATTACCAAAGAATTGGACAGTGTCCAAAATAATGAATGAATTTAATACAACATACATGGCAAGACAAGCTAAATTATTGATAGCGGAAAAGGGATTTTTATCAACCCCTAACCCCAAGCCTGGAAATACTATAGACGAATGTACAGTTAAAATTGTACAAGAATTTTATTGTACGGACGAAATAAGCAGAATCATGCCAGGCAAGAAAGATTGCCTTTCAATTTTGACCGAAGACGGAAAAAAGAATACAATACAAAAGAGATTAATTTTAGATAATTTGAAAGAAATTTATATATTTTTTAAAGAAATGAGGCCTGATGTTAAAATCGGTTTTTCGAAATTTGCAAGCATTCGCCCAAAAAATTGTATACTCGTAGGAGGTAGTGGTACACATGTTTGTGTTTGCAGCTACCACCAAAATTTTAAATTAATGATCATTGGATCAAATTTACCCAATTTAACCAAAGATGATATGTTGCCCATTAAAACATATAAACATATTTTACCCTTAATAATTTGTAATCCGCCTCAACCATCCTGTTATTTGGGCAAATGTGATAATTGTCCAGGGTCAACAAATTTACGCCACCAAATAGAAATATTGTTTCGTTCTAAGGACATCGAATTTATAACATACAAACAATGGCTATCCGTAGATAGAACCACTCTTGAAACAATAACCAAGCCAGTAGATGAATTTATCAATATAATTGAATGAAAGCCCCATTTATTGTTATTTTCACTTACAAGATAAATACTCCTTTAAATTATATCAAATAGTCTAAGAAAAACCATTAAAAACTGATTTAAATATAAATTTATGCAAAGACGCAGTACTTTCGGGAAAATACTTATACACTTTCTAAACATTTTTATCGATTTTGAGAATGAAGATGGCCTCGTCCCAGACCAATTTTTTTTTATAAATATAAAGGAAGAGTTCAGTGTTGTCTACTAAATTTTTTAAAAAAATTGAAGGTCGTATAATTTCTAAAAAATCGTTTTTAGTCCTTATATATTTAATAAAATGGCCGGAAATTGAAAAAAAAAATTTTTTTTTATCTAAAAGTAGAATCTTTGTACGTAATTTTGATATTAAATTTGTTATTTACAATTAGATAGTTTTTAAGATATGCTTAATTGAATGAAGGCAGATAATGGTAAAAATGCTTCATTTTTGCCACTTTGAACCCTAATATCTCCAAAAATATAAATGTTACGAGGCTAAAATTTTGGCTATTTCTTAACTACACTAACCTTTCTTTGCTTACTAAATTTTAAAAAAATCGAAGGGGGTCGGCCGAAAATCTTATTTTTTTTGCTCATTTGACATGGAATGACGCTTTATTGATTAAAAATATTTTAATGTATAATATATCATAAAATTCGATTATATAACTTTGTAAACCTTATTCCCCTGAGATATTCGCAGGATAAAAAATTTTAATAATTTTTTTAATATTTCAATGTAAATTAAAATAATTAAAAAATCGGACTAGCACACGAACAAAAAAGCAGGATTAAAGGGGTGCAGGAAAATTATTAAGGGAAAAATCGAAAATCACATTAATTACCAGGCCTACCCCCAACCCCCTATCCACCCCCTCCCCAGACTAAGTCATACCCATTAAGACCAAGAATGTTATGAAATTGTCATTA